GGGTGTTCACTGGAAGGACTGATGTTGAAGCTGAAACTCCAATCCTTTGGCCACCTGATGCGAAGAGCTGACTCATTTGAAAAGACCCTGATGCTGGGAAAGATTGAGGGCAGGAGAAGGGGGAGACAGAGGATGAGATGGTTGGATGGCATCACCGACTCGATGGACATGGGTTTGGATGGACTCCGGGAGCTGGTGATGGAGGCCTGGCGTGCTGCGGTTCACAGGGTTGCAAAGAGTCGGACATGACTGAGTGACTCGTCCTCTGTCGCCCCCTTCTCCTCCTGCCCTCAATCTTTCCCAGCATCAGGGTCTTTTCAAATGAGTCAGCTCTTTGCATCAGGTGGCCAAAGTAATGGAGTTTCAGCTTCAACATCAGTCCTTCCAGTGAACACCCAGGACTCATCTTCTTTAGGATGAACTGGTTGGATCTCCTTGCAGTCCAAGGGACTCTCAAGAGTCTTCTCCAACACCACAGTTCAAAAGCATCAATTCTTCAGCACTCAGCTTTCTTTATAGTCCAACTCTCACATCCATACATGACCACTGGAAAAACCATAGCCTTGACTAGATGGACCTCTGTTGACAAAGTAATGTCTCTGCTTTTTAATATGCTCTCTAGGTTGGTCATAACTTTCCTTCCAAGGAGTAAGCATCTTTTAATTTCATGGCTTGCAATCACCATCTGCAGTGATTTTGGAGCCCAGAAAAATAAAGTCAGCCATGGTTTCCACTATTTCCCTATCTATTTCCCATGAAGTGATGGGACTGGATGCCATGATCTTAGTTTTCTGAATGTTGAGCTTTAAGCCAACTTTTTCACTCTCCTCTTTCACTTTCATCAAGAGGCTCTTTAGTTCTTCTTCACTTTCTGCCATAAAGGTGGTGTCATCTGCATATCTGGAGTTATTGATGTTTCTCCTGGCAATCTTGATTCCAGCTTGTGCTTCATCCAGCCCAGTGTTTCTCATGATGTACTCTGCATATAAGTTAAATAAGCAGGGTGACAACATACAGCCTTGATGTACTCCTTTTCCTATCTGGAACCAGTCTGTTGTTCCATGTCCAGTTCTAACTGTTGCTTCCTTACCTGCATACAGGTTTCTCAAGAGGCAGGTAAGGTGGACTGGTATTCCCATCTCTTTCAGAATTTTCCACAGTTTATTGTGATCCACACAGTCAAAGGCTTTGGCATAGTCAGTAAAGCAGAAATAGATGTTTTTCTGAAACTCTCTTGCTTTTTCAATGATCCAGCAGGTGTTGGCAATTTGATCTCTGGTTCCTCTGCCTTTTCTAAATCCAGCTTGAATATCTGGAAGTTCACGGTTCACGTATCCTGAAGCCTGGCTTGGAGAATTTTGAGCATTACTTTACTAGCGTGTGAGATGAGTGCAATTGTGCAGTAGTTCGAGCATTCTTTGGCATTGCCTTTCTTTGGGATGGGAATGAAAACTGACCTTTTCCAGTCCTGTGGCCACTGCTGAGTTTTCCAAATTTGCTGGCATATTGTGTGTAGCACTTTTATAGCATCATCTTTCAGGATTTTAAATAGCTCAACTGGAATTCCATCACCTTCACTAGCTTTGTTTGTAGTGATGCTTCCTAAGGCCCACTTGACTTCACATTGCAGGATGTCTGGCTCTAGGTGAAGTGGAAATCAGGGAGGTCCAATAACTTGTCTAAAGTCACAGAGTTACTAAGACATGAAGCTGAGATTAGACTTTGGTCTGTCTGGTTAAAATACTCATATTTGTTTACTTCATTCTAACAAGCAGATAAAGTTCAAAACCACTCTAGAGTAGACTGAGGCCATCTAACAGAATTTTCTGTGATGATGGAAATTTTCTATATCTACACTCTCCAATATGGCAACCCCTAGCTGCACATGGCTACTTAGCACTTGAAATGTAGCTAGTTTGAGTGAATCAAAATCCATTTATGATTTTTCAATTTTATTTAAATGTGGTTAGAGCCTGCTGTGTTAGACAGTACACTTCTAGACAGAGAAAGCTGATTTAAAGAAAAGAGTTAATGTTGAAGATTAATGCTTTCAGTGACCAGGAAGGTGAGAGATTTAAAGAAATAAAAAATGAAAAGGAAATCAGACTGTAATTTGAAAGGCACCGTTCATAATAGTTTAAAAAATAGTTTTTGTGGAAGCCGAATATTTTTCCACCCTTGGAGCAACACATCCATTTGGTTGATGTGCTCTGACCATGCCATCTTTGTGGCTCTTTGTCAAACAGCTTGGGGCCAAGCCAAAGCCCATGGGGAGGGTTCCCTTTGGCAAATGCATTCTCCCTTCTTTTCTGTTTTGTATTTGGCATTAAACCGAGTAACTGTCTCATGCTGAAACCACCACACGTATCTAATTCCCATTTTGTTCTCTGTCAGATTCAGGCAGAGAGCTGATAGAATAGCTGACACTTTCAGGTCAGAGAAGACTTCCTATCTGTGGTTCTTAATGGTTGGAGCTGTGCAAAGACATACTAGGCAACCTCAGGGGGAGGTGAGTCTCCCATCAGGAGAGGTGTTCAAGCATGTGCTCAACAATGATGGGCATGTTGTATCAAGGTTGTGACTGTCAGATGACAGTGGAGGGGTGGTTGGGCTAAAAGGGCTTTTATGTTATTTCTAACTCTCAAAGTTATTTGTAAAGCAGGAAACTTTTGTCCTGTAGAAGTCTTCCTCTGTCCATGTCCCACCATTATGTTCAGACCAGGAACCCCCTGAGATCAGGATTGTGTCACAATCGCCCCTGTATTACTGGGTCAGGCGTGGTACTTGACACCTGGAAGGTGTTCAGAAAACCCTGCTTGTTGCTGTTGAAAGAGCATTGAGATCTTGACATCTTAACCTAAACATAAAGTGGGAGTCTTCATTTGCTCTAATGAGAGGAAACAACCAGCCCTGGGAGGTAAAAGAGAGGGCACTCTGCTGTAGGCTGGGTACGGTGGTGGTGCATTTGCACACATTTTGTAGCACAATATCCATAAACTTAGAAAGCAGTTATCCCTCAGTTAAAAAATAAATCAAAAAAAGAAGAGGCATTAATAGACCCATTTTAAAGATAAGGAAGCTGAGGCTTGATGAGGAAGTAATCCATAATCATATAGATAGTTAAGCGACTGGGGTGACAGTCAACAGCCGTCATTACTAATCTTAAACTGGTTTGTGGGGCAAGTGAATTAAAACTCATCAGGAGGGATCACGGTTGATGATGACAGGAGACTGGAGACATCTTAGGCAGCATGATAATATCTCAGTGCTGAAGAGGTAGGGAAATATCTTCTGGTTCTTCACCAAAGAAACCACCATGTCCTAGTGGTTCACAGCGATACAGGACCATAGAAGATGAGACCATCTCCTCGTCTCACCCCTCTCACCCCAATTCTGAAAAATCTTCACCTGACCATGGGAACCCATAAGATTGGCATCTTTAAACTTCTACAGAATTACTTCAAATGCAAGATGCCCCCCCTCCGCTTTTTTTCAGCTCCCTCCCACTGACCAAATTTTCCAAGTCCACTTAAGATGTATTAACCAAGACTCTGTTGTAGGTGGCAGAAACCCATGTCAGAGTGGTTTAACGATAAAAGTGACTCATGGTGCTGAAAAGGCAAGACTTTGGGTGTGGCTGCTGCAGGTGCCCAGGTGATGATACAGAAATGTCTCTCACATATCTTTGGCTCCCCTTCCTTCTGTTTTGGCTCTGTGATCAGGGATGGCCAGTAGGGACTCCAGATTTACTTCTTACCTGCGTAGCATTTTCAGCCAACTTTCCTCCAATAGTTCTAGAATTGAAAGAAAGGCAGTGCAATACATACTGTTGAAACCATGAGCTACCTCCTGCCGGAGGTTTGTGCGGGGTTTGACAGATGTCAAGGACAGCTGTGTTTCCCTTGAAATTTTAAAATATCCTAAGGCAGGCTTGAAGGTTCTCTGCGGCACTCCAAGCCCTTTGGCGTGCTGTTTGGGACAGAAGGCTGCGGGGTTCCCTTCTCCCCTGTCTGACCTGCGGTTTCTCTCCCTTTACTAATCCGAGGCCTCATCTCTTCATGTCAGAGAGCAGTGTTTGGAGCTTTTGTAAACATGTCACTTGAAGCAGGTTACTTTTTCTTTTTAATCCTTAGTTTTCTCTTGGTAAGTGGTAATTATGCTATCTACCTTGTAGGGCTGTTGTGAAGATTAAGTGAGATTCTATATTTAATGTCTCTGAGCACAGTGCCTGGAGATATCGGCATTCAGAGTTGGAGCTATTGTTTTCCTTCTTCTTCTTATTATTATCAATATATGGAGCAGATATAATAGTCAGCATTTGGTTCATCTGAGAATAACAGAAAACACAAAATAAATGGCTTAAATAAAATAGATGTTTACTTCTCTCTCTCATGTAAAAGTCCAGGAAGATAGTCCAGAGCTAGTGTGATGTTACCTAATGCCAGGGATTCACACTCTTTCTATCTTATTTATCTACTAGGCATAGCTCCATTTCCAAGGTCATCTCATAGCCCAAATTGCTGCTCTAGCTCCAGCCATCATGTCTCATTCCAGCCAGAAGGAAGAATGAAATGGGAGGAAAAGTTCATGTTCTCTTTCTTCCTAAGACTTACATACCCCAGTCCTGCACAAATCTCTATGCCAGAACTGAAGTCACACCTAGCTGCAAGGGAAATGGAGTGATAGGATGTTGTTTTGGGCAGCCAGGATGCCCAGCTAAAAATTGTATTACTGTGGTGGAAGCGCAGGCTCTGCCCCAGCAGAGCAGTGGGAAAGGACACCAGAAGCTAGACTCACTCTGGATGATGGAGCTCAAAGAAAACTGTGCCTCTGCAAGAAGGGAAATACTGTGCCCCTTTTGCTACCTGAGGAATGTAAGATTGACTCCAGAATTTTTAAGAAAGCTGGAAGTTAAAGCTCAAGTCTGGCACTCTCTTCCCTGAGCCAAGGAGCTTTAGCCGTCTTTCCCCACTCGCTGCCAGCCAGGGCTGGGGACGCACAGAGCACTGGCCCCAGGCAAACTTGGTTTGAGTCCAAATTCCAGGACTCTTGGGGCTGACTGGCAGCCGCTCTGTCTGAGCAACCTGGGGGATCCTGAGAAAAGAATGAACATCCGAATCCCAGAACAAAATCCGCAGCAATGATGCTCCTGCGGCCCGGGGTCTGGCTGGGAGGCCGCGCAGTGGGGAGGATGAGGTCATGGTGACAAATGTGAGAAGGGGGAGGGCTCCCGAGGGCAGCAAATGTGCCCAGGAGCCAGCAGCCCGCAGCCCAGAGCGAAGCCTGCCTTGGGGGCTCCGTCCCTCGTTCCGCCACGGCTCTGCTGGGTTTTTGGACTTCAGTCTATCTAGTCAGAAGATGGGAAATACATCTGCTGTCCTCTCTGCTTTGTAAGGCTGCTGTCAGCAGCAGCTAGGCTAAGGAATGTCTACAAAGTGAATAGAGTGCCTAAAGAAAAAGGGGTTTGGTTGCCAGGCGTTGGCGGGGAGGGAGGGATGGAAAGGCAGAGTACAGAGGATTTTTAAGGCAGTGAAGCTGCTCTGTATGACACAATAATGGTGGATGCATGTCATTATACATTTATCCAAACCCACAGAACATACAACACTTGAGAGCGAACCCTATGTAAACTATGGACTTAGCCTGATAACAAGGCATCGATGTTGGTTCATTGATTGTAACAAATGTACCACCCTGATGTGGGATAATGTTGATGGGAGAGGCTGTGGGAGGGATTGGGGAGGGGATGGGAGGGCTGTGTGGGAACTCTCGGTGCTTTCTGATCAATTTTTCTGTCAATCTAAAACTTCTTTAAAATTTAAAATGTAAAGTCTATTAATTTTCTTTAAAAAAAAAAAGATATAAAACAGCTTGACCTTGGGAGTAATACTGCCAACTTGGGGGCTGAGTAAACATTTACTGAACAGCTGTTGAAAAGAAATCAACCATGCGTATTCATCCTCTGGTCCAAAAGCCAACTACTGCATAGGGCTATAAAGACAGGTAATCAGATATTAGGTAAATAGTGGTTACCAACATTACTACATTTATCAAGGTAAATGTACTAAAGGGGTTAGGGAGACCCTAAACATCTATATAACATAGAATTGCTCACATCTTGGTATGGAGTGGTCCATTTGATGGGGTGGTATTTTAATTTGGGATATGGAAGTAAAAAATAACTAAAAATATAGCTGCCATGTTACGTGAGTCTTATTGGAATTCCATTAGGTCATTCCATGATTATTGCCTTTAATTCTTATGTTTAAGAGATAAAACTGCTTTTTAACAATTGACTTTTTTCCCTTTCTTTAAAAGTGAAATATAGTTGATTTACAATGCAGTGTTAATTTCAGTTGTACAGTTTGGTTACACATACGTATACATTTTTTTTCAGATTCTTTTCCCTTGTAGGTTATTACAGAATGTTGAGTATAATTCCCTGTGCTATATAGTCAATCCTTGTAGATTACCAACTTTGTATATAGAAGTATGTAGATATTCATCTCAAACTCCTAATTTATTGACACCCCCCCCCCATTGCTCCTTGGTAAGCACAGTTTGTTTTCTGTTTGTGGGCCTGTTTCTGTTTTGTATATATGCCCATTGAGACACAATCATTTTTTGACAATCTGTGAGTACTTTTGTTTAATATTTGGGTTTTTCTGCTCTATAAAGAAAACCAGGATTGTACATTGCCCTGAAGAATATGCAACAAGGTTCCCAAGCCTATGCTGCTGGGGAGGAGTCTAGAGCAGGGCTGTCCAATAGAACTGTGTGTGACAGTAGAAATGTTTCAATCTTCCCTGTCCTCTATGGTAGCCACTACTTATGTGTGGCTATTGAGTACTTACAGAATGACTAGTATAATGGAAGAACTGAATCTTTTTTAAAAAGTAAATTTAAACCACAATGTCGAATAGCCACACGGGGTCAGTGGCCAGTGTACTGGACAGCTTGGGTCTGGGGTCACATTCTTCAGCAGTTCTTTGCTACTTACATCCAGAGCCTTGGAAGTTTGTCTTGTATCTGTGTGCCTGTATAAACATATGTGTGCATGTGTCGGGGAAGTGATGCATGCATTAATGAGTGTACAGGAATGCTGCAGAACTTCCCATGGACCCACTTAAGATTTTATCCTCTACCCACAAAAATCACAGGTCCAAAATGATGGGTCTGTGACACAGAAAACCCACACAGAAAACCTCTGACCCGAAAAAAGCAGGAATCCAGGAAACAAGGCAGGGGTTACATAGAATTTCTTTGCTGTACATCATGTGTATATTTTTGTTTTAAAAATAGGTCACAACTTTCATAGTCACATTAGGTATTAGGGATCAGGGGATCAGACTGAGCTTTGTCACCAAGTTGCTGTGTCGGTCTGGCATGTGACATCCCTCTCTGGGTCTCACTTTCCCCACGGTTACTACAGGGATTGAATAAGATGGTGTGTAACAATCGTTCGGCTCTTCGATGATGTCCCAGGTCTAAGCAAAATATATCCATTTTTTTAATTGAAAAACATGAAGATGCAAAACCTTACTGCAGATGGGTCTGAATGGACAGCAGACTAGGTCAAAGTGTGTACTGCATTCTGCAGAATACTGCAGAGGAAGGAAGTGTCACTGAGGTCCGATCACACATCCAGCTAAGGTTAAGCAGGTTTCTTGACTTCAGGACTTCTCCGAACCTTTGACACTCTCCTGGGAGTCATGACTCTCCAGACGGGGGATCCAGTTGCTGCTTTTCCCAAACTTAGTTGACTCCAAAATTTATTTCGGTTTGAAGAACATCCTATAGGAAGGACTAATGTTCTGCGAAACACACGTAGGGAAAAGCTGACCTGGAGACAGTGTGAGTAGTTCTTAGGGACCCTGGTGTCTCCCCAACCTTCAGGGTCCCCCTGCTTCTCTCGCTGGGTGTGCAGGGATGGGGTTCTGCACTCAGCAAAAAGTCAAATCCTGTTCTCCTTAGCGCAGGTGCAGCTCCCCATGGTCCCAGCTCTCCAGCTGCCCCGTGCAGCCTGTTTTGATATGGGGCTATCATGATTTGCAAATTCCCTCTCTAGCTCAAGTGCACAGACCCGGAACATGCTCCTTGCTGGAGGGACAATGTCAACCGAGACCCCCAGCAGTATGGTGACCTCTGTGGAAGCTGGCAGCACCTCGCAGAGGGCAGAGTTTGGCTCTGCACTTGTACAATCAGTTGTAAATTCTGCTGAGCTCTATGGATCCATCTGGATGAAAAGATCTGTATAAATGCAAGATCATTATCATTATCAGCTGTCCCAGTTGGAGCCCAGCGATTCGCAAGCCCACAATCAATGGGGCTTTTCCAACAATCCCGTTCTACCCAGCTTGAAAAAGGTGTAATTACGTGGGGCTGCACATCCTCTGGACAGACAGAGGGCATGTCTGTCCCCATGTCCATGGTCCCCAGGGTGATGGGGAGAGGAATATCCTAGGCCCCTCACCAGACACGTGGACAGAGGTGCCCTCTAGGCCCTGCCCACGTCCAGGGCAAGTAAGACACTGCATCCCAAGCTTCCTCCACCCCAAACTTTGTCCTGGTGGACATGAGCGGGTAGCACTGTTTTTGCCTCAGATGGCCCCAGGAGGCATGTGAAGGCTGCCTCCTTTTTTTTTTTTTCTTGATTCTGTGTAGGATCAGGAAAAACTTGGACTCAGAGAATCTTCTTTTCCGAAGCTGCCTGCCCACAGCACACAAGGACAAGAGAGTCTTCCAATCAGGGCAACTCTGAGCTAGAGGACACACATCCTACTTCATTCTTTCGTCGCAAATCTCTGGCACTTCTAGCTGTGTGACCTGGGGGAAGTTTATTAACCTTTCTGAGCTACCTGAAATAGGGATGGCAATTCTCACCTACCTGATTATAGATGGTCCAAGACCAACTGGATTTTTGTGCACCCTTGCTTATTAGGAGAGCGGGATCTTTTCATTCTTACTCAAAGAACTTGGGTACTGTACGAGGGAAAAATAAAGAGACACACTTCCTTTTTAAAAAGATTTCATCTGGAAGTCACCCAGGGGATTCAAAGGCCAATTCGGAGTCAGAACCTTAGTAGGCGTCAGGCTCCTAGGAATCACCTAGGCTGATTTTCTGTTCCATGCTCATCTGACCACACCCTCCCATCAGCCTCCGGGGCCTGCGTCCTCATAGATGTGGGAAGGGGTGATGCGCGGGGGGTCCCCCCAGTGGCCTGCCTTGCCCCTAAGCTCTGGTGCCTGGACCTCTAATGAGGCAAGAGGCTTTTGTTGCTGTTATTCAGTTGCTCAGTCGTGTCTGACTCTTTGCGATCCCATGGACTGTAGCACGCCAGCCTTCACCGTCTTTCACTATCTCCTGGGGTCTGCTCAAACTCATGGCCACTGGCAGACTTTTCCCCATCTCCAAATGTGCTTCCCACACAATGGCTGAGACGTGTCCTGTCCCCTTTGCCCCTCCCCACCCCCAATTCTCTTGAGAAAATTACCAGAGAGCTGAGAAGAGAGATGATGTGGCTGGAAAGGGAACCAAATGGGTAGGCGGGGGTGGGGGGGGTGAGGGGGGAATGTGTCCCCTGGTCAGCTCCAGAGACACAAGGTTCAGGCCACTTTCACTGCCTGCCCACGCCCCACCCCCACCCCCAAATAGTCAGTTCTGACTTCAGTCTGGGGAGTGTCCCAGAACAATGAGTCTTTGGCCATTCTGAGGATGCGCTGGACACACACACAAGATTCTCCTCCGTGACCTTGGACCACGTCTCTGATAAATAGACTGGCTGGGGGAGGAGTCGGGCCCACTGACCTCCCAGGTGACCAGAGTCCTCCGCAGACCATGGCTGACTGGACGTTCAAGGGACACCCTTGGCTGCGTCTGGGTGAGCAGAATCCAGCAAGCTCGAAGAGCATGTGGACCTGAGATCTGGTACTGTCTGCTTCGCTAGTGGCAAAAACCTCCTGAGCAGATGTCGGCGTTCCCCAAAGCATGTCTGAGTTCAGGGCGGGGAGAACTGCTGTGGCCTCTGCTTCAGGACTGACGGCTAGGGGCTCCAGCCAGCCAGCTCATTCGTCGGGGTCCAGTCTCCAGGACTCTGGCATCACTGAATCAGTGGACGTGGGTTTGAGCAATCTCCAGGAGATAGTGAAGGACAGGGAAGCCTGGCCTGCTGCTGTCCATGGGGTTGCAAAGAGTCAGACA